CAGTCAAAAGAAATCACAGTATCAAAATTCCCAAAATGTAAGAAATAAACATCAAAGAGGATTTCCGTGTAACTTAAAAGGAATGATTCAAAACTTGGTCAAATCACTTTGGAAGTATTCTACATCACATTCCATGACTTCACAACCAAAATCTCACAAGCATTCACTTTCAGTCAAAAGATATCACACTTTCCAGTAGAAATCCAGAAATAAGCTCCTTTCGCGACGATATGCATAGAACAGGATTTTGCTATAACTTCCCAGTCGTTAATACAATCTAGGTCAAATGACTTTCAAAGTATTCTTTAGCACATCTTTAACACACAGTTTGATTCTTTCTGACAAGGATAGGGATGTGCTAATACTTTGAAAGTCATTTGACCTAGATTGTATTCATTACTGGGAAGTTATAGCAAAATCCTGTTCTGTGTGCAACTGTTTATATAAAATAGTTGTGGATTCCCACCCATGTCGGGTCCCTGAATGCACCATACCCCGTCACAGTATTGCTGGGCTTGTTAACCTATATAGGCACCAGGTGTGCCCGCCAAGTGACAAGTAAAGTCCATTGTGGCAGCTGGGATTTGTTGGATAAGCGCTGGTGCCGTGCTGGTTGAGCTGCTGAACAGGTAAATGGATTTTTGTCACTTTTGTCTGGTTTTGGCTTTATTATTGTCAGCAGAAACTTTATTGTCTGTTGTGGTATTACAGGTTGCTTATGTGCAATATTATGCTCTCACCCATGTACAGTTTTATGATGCTCTCAGTAATTGGCTAAGGGGTTGTCCTCTACAGCTGGAAATCTAGCAAAGCACCACAGAACCAGGGTTTATATATATTTTTTTTATGAATTAGCCGATTGGGCGGAGCTCTAAAGGACTGGACTGAGGCGACGGGAGATTTATATTTTCTTTTGTTCAATATTATTTGCGTGTGGTGAAATTGTTTCTATTAGTTTGGTTTGTAGTTTATTTTGTTATGTTTCTGATCGCTTCCAGTGCTTCCCTAGATGCCTGTGCCAAATCAGGTCTTAAATTAGAATAAAGTATACTGGTAACATTGTCAAAGAAAGTATAAATAAAATATATTTTTGTATGCTACCTCTGTTTCATCATTCTAAGCCAGACTTACTTGAGTACTTTTAATTGGGAGACTCTAGGCTACTTGAGCATATTTTAGTAGTCTACCAGTTGGCTTTAGAGCCACGCCCTCAGTCATCATCCGGGTCTTTCCCCCGTCTTACATGTGCATATCGTCGCGAAAGGAGCTTATTTCTGGATTTCTACTGGAAAGTGTGATATCTTTTGACTGAAAGTGAATGCTTGTGAGATTT